GGCAGAGGCGGCGGAAAAGAGAGAGTGGGCACCGGGAGGTGCGCTGTTTGCTAGTTGAGTTGCAAGCTGGTTGTGTTGCTTAGCGCAAGGTGCGCTGTTTGCAAGTTGTTGCTACCAACTGTGAATTCCACATTGGTAGCGGAGCATCCGCTCTCCGCTCCGGCTCCAGCTGTCAGAGAACTGCAACGCTTGATCTTGTTGGCTTGACGTCGAGTTGCACTTGAAGCATTGTACATTGGCGTGCGAGGTCACTGCTTGTACATTGGTCGAGTCGGCAAGTCGCTGGCAACATTGATACATTGAGTCGTGGTTGGTTGACATTGCTACATTGGATTGGTGCTTGGTTGAGCATTGATTACATTGATTGCAGTGCAGTTTTGTTGACAGCTCCTCACCATGAGCGGTTCCAGGGAGGAAGGGGGTTCGACTGGATCCTCAGGAGGTGGCTTGAGCCATCTTCCATGGAATCAGGCGCCGCAATTCAAGCCTGGTGAGACAGACTTGACGGAGTGGACGAAGAAGGTCGAGTTCCTGGCTCAGCTGTGGCCACCTGAGCATTTGCAGCACCTGGCACCTTGCATAGCCCTTCAATGCGAGGGATCTGCTTTTCAGAGGGTTGCTCGCTTGGATCCCAAGACCTTGCGCGTTGGCAGCCTGGAAGGCGTGAAGTCCATTGTCGAAGCTCTTGGAGGCATCTGGGGAAAGTCGAACCTCGAGAGCAAATTCGAGAGGTTCGAAAGGGCCATCTACGGAACAGATGAGACCATGCAACGAAAGTTACCTGGCCCGGCATGACCACCAGTTTGAAGAGTTGTTGGGTATGAAGGTTGGCGTTGACGAATTTCGAGCATACATCTTGCTGCGGAATTCCGCCTTGAGCTCCGAGGACAAGAAGAGGTTGATCGTTGAGTCCTCTGGGTCTTTGGAATATAGAGATGTTGTGTCCAACCTCAAGTTGCTCGGCAGCAAGTTCTTCCAAGAGGTGCATGCTGGAAAGGTCACTGGAGGTCGAACGAAGACCTACGAGGCCAATGCATTCATGGCTCAGGACACCATGGGAGGTGACGCCATGCCAGAAGATGCTGCGTTTCAGGCAGAGGACTGGAACGAAGAAGAGCTGATTGAACAGTGGGCCAACGAAGGAGACGAGGACGCTGCATTGGTCATGGAATATGAACAGTCGATGTTGGACGCCATCCAGGACGACGCCGACTTAGCACTGTCGTCAACGACCTATGCTGAAGCCCGCAAGAGATTGGCAGATCGTGTGAAGAATCGTGGATTCTGGCCTTCGAGCGGTGCCAAGGGAAAATCCCGTGGCAAGGGCTGGGAGAAGGGCAAAAAGGGTTACTCGGGGAGTCGAAACCCGGGAAACCGAAAGACTCTCCAACAGAGGATCCTATAGAGAGCTCACGTCGCCTTTGCGGCCGCCGTGGACACTGGAAAGCCGAATGCCCAGATCGCGGACGATCGTCAGAGGCCAATACGGCCATGGCTCCCACGCTAGTGACCTTGGAGGAAGGGATTGATGCCCTTCCCCTGGAGTTTCTTGAGCTTCCAGAAGAGCCCATCGCGACTGTGCCTGTTTTGTCAAGTTTTTGGTGGTTTTTGAGATCAAAAGGGGTTTGTATTGGGAATAATGACGGGGTGGTCATTGAGAAACCCAATACTGGGAAAGATGAAAGCATGCATGTATTCAGGGATAGAGCATCCAAGCCGCCTCTTGCAGAGATTTTGACCAGCTCAAGTGAATCAGCATTGAGCCGAAAGCCTGAAGCCGATGCCAAGTCGCATTTTGCGATCTCAAATTCGTTAGGTATCATCGATACCGGAGCCACCAAGACAGTCATAGGAAGCTGCTTCGTGGCAGGATTGATAAACAATCTATCAAAGGAAGTTCGACAACAGGTGTCAAGGTGTCCATGTCATGTCAAGTTTCGATTCGGAAACCATGGTACTCTTGAAAGTCATCATGCATTAGTGGTGCCCATTGGTAAACTGAAGTTGAAGATAGCCATTGTACCAGGTATGACACCGTTTTTGTTGTCGAACACGCTTTTCCGTGCCGTCGGTGCCACGATTGACACTCGTCAGGGTTTGCTTCACAGCTCACTGTTGAAAAGATCAATTCCCATCCAGGTCAACTCACGAGGACTGTATGTCCTAGACTTGAATGAACTGGCAAAGCCCATGCAGTGACACCTCGGCCGAAAGCCTTGCAGACACGTTCCATGTGTCCGAGACGCAAAAGGAGCCATCAGTCTGCGAGCCACGAGAAGACAGACCTCAAACAAACCAGAACAGCAAAACACTCGAACCTCAGACAAAGTCGACATCGAAGCCATCCGTCCGGGATCTGATTGATCGATTCGAAGAACATTCGAATAGACCGGATCGAGTTGCGCCGTCCCAATCGGATTCGAATCGAAAGCAGAACATGTCAGGAAGCCCAGTTCCGAAGTTCTCCTGTTCGAGCACGTGCGAGTACCCTCGTCCACCTGTGATCGTCGATCGCCATGCCTCCGAAGACCGACACGCTCGCTCGCCTGACCCGTGTTCAGCAGCTCTCGCAGCAAGCCGCCGACGAGATGTCACTAGCGGAGTTCCAACAGTTTCCCATGGAGGAACAGGGACAGCAGCTAGTGAAGTTCGGCAAAGCCCACACTGGCAAGACCTACGAGCAGCTGTGGGAGAACGAGCCACAGTATGTGAAGTGGTTCGTGAGCAAGTACCAGACCAACACCAAAGGAGAGCATCAGCTGTTGATTCACTACATCAATCGTCGCATCGAGGAACTCGAACAGCAGGAAGAAGTCCAAGTTCCGCTTCACAGCATCCCACCGGCAAAGCCAAAGGCCAAGGCCGGGGCATCGAGTGCACAGATGCCTGTGACCCGACGGGATCTCGACGACTTTCAGGCGGACCAGAGCTGGGAATCCATTGGGGAAGTCATCGAAGAGCCAGAAACGATCTATGCAGACATGGCAGCGCTCCAGAATCGCATGCTGTCACTGGAGAGTGCACTCCAGGAGGTGGTAGCGCACCTTCGAAGTTCATGACCACTGACTGGCTAGACACTTTTGAAATTTCTCCAGGTTTGGTAGCTCAAGATCAAGACAGTGTCAAACAACAGGACAAGCTACACCGCATGATTCGAGAGATCTCAAGAGAAGCCAAGTCCGTGCAAGATCGTTGCCAGAGGTCGTCCGACGCCAGCCTGATTCACTTGGTTGAAGTTTTTTGTCATGAAAACAGTGAATTAACTAGGCAAATCCAAAATCTCCATGGGAAAGCTGTTCGTATGGGACTAAACCAAGGGGACCTCAGCACTCCAGATGGTCGGAAAACCCTGTTTGAGATCATGTTCATGAACAGGCCTCGAAACGTATGGTATAGCCCGACATGCAGTCCATGGTGTGCTTGGAACAGGTTCAATGAACAACGATCGATTGAGCTCTTCGAACATGTTCAACATGAAAGAGACACCCACTTGTATGAACTAGCTCTAGGGATCGTGCTGTTGAGAATCACCAGGAGTCAGGGGACACACATCCACTGGGAACAACCTCGGCAATCCCTGATGTTCAAGACCCCAATGTTGCAGGAACTGTTCGAAGTCACACTAGAAGCCCATTTCGACATGTGCAACGCAGGTGACCTCAAATGTCCAGAGACAGGTCTGCACAGCCAGAAGGGCATGGCAGTTCGAACGACGTCAATCGATATGCATGACGCTCTCCATGGGCGCACGTGCCATCGAGATCATGAGCACAGGGCCATCGCTGGATCGATCAAAACCCAAGAAGGTAGGATCTCATGCAGTTCGTTCACTGAAAGATACCCTCGAAAGTTTGCTCGAAGAGTGGCAAAGTTGATCACTAAGGTAAAGCAAAAGGAATATGTTCCAATCTTAGTGAGCCATGCTAGAGATCATCCAGAGAGGCCAGAGGAGATGTCGAAGCGACCTCGCATCAACCCTCCTCAAAATTCTTCGAATGCCCGACAGCCTCCAACGCCTTTGGAGGTTCTGAATGGAACAGTGAAGCGCCGCCGCATCGATGGAAACACCGCCGAACAAGACATTCCTGCGTACCAGTCTCGGCGACAAAGACTAGAAATCATACTCGAGAAGATAAAACCCATGTTGCGAAGAGTAGGAAAGACCGACCTCACTGATCAAGTCATCATTCAACAACTCCAAGAAGTTTTTCCGGAAAAACACATCAAGCGAGTCATTGCATGTAAAGGCTCTGATAGAACGGTTGGTCCCCCCCCAAGGTCTTGTGAGGAACGAAGCACCATTTCGAAAAGCCATCATCGTAAGTAGGATTGATGCTTCAATTAGAGTTGAGCAGGACTGGGAATTTTGGCAAGAATTGTCGAATCGGCAACTGATCAGACCTTCGCACGCCGCCAGAATCAATGTGACAATGTTAGCTGCCAATCGAAGTTCCGACAATGGAAGGACCTCGAATGGCTGTCCACCAGCGGTGACAGAGACCGCACGCGAGCCTGCAAGCCATGAACCGACGCATGATGCGCCGGAGACCATGGAGGACCGCCACCAGGACAGCGATCGATGTAGTGTTCCACGAACCACCAAGAGTCAACAAGCAGACTTTAGGAGCGAAAAGCATGGTCCCAAGTTCATGCAGCTGTCCCCGGAACAGAAGACATTCCTGATCAAACTCCACCAGAATCTGGGTCACCCTAGTCATGCCCGGTTAGGCCAGGTCCTCCGAGAACAGGGACATGCCCCATGCCTCAGTCAGGGAATCCTTGACATGAAATGTTCGACATGCACCAATGAACAACAACCCAAAGTACAGAGAACAGCAACTATCAAGGATGACCTCGACTTCAATGATCGGATAGGAATGGATGGAGTAACGTACACCGCCCTTGATGGAACAACATATCATTTCTATCACGTGATAGACTATGGAACAAACTATCATGTTGCATGTGCATCCCCAGGTCAAAATAGTCAAGCAGCAATCGAAGCACTTGTGACGGGTTGGTTCCAGTGGGCCGGTGCTCCAATCGAACTCCACACCGATGCCGGAACAGAATTCACATCTCGTGAATTCTCCAGCATGTTGACCCAATTCAGTGTTCGATCAATAGTGGCAGCTCCCGGAGCACATTGGCAGATAGGAAAGGTTGAACGTCATGGACACATCCTGCAAACCATGCTTCGTAAATATGAGCAAGATTTCCCCATTGTGTCGTATCAAGACCTTCAACTTGCCTTAGCCCAGTGCACATCATCAAAGAACGCATTGAGCCTAAAGTCAGGATATTCCTGAGATGTTTTAACGTTTGGAAAGACACTCCGGGTCCCCGCATCAATCACTTCTGACTACAGTCTCCCATCCCACCTATTGGCAGAGGAAGATACCCAACAAGGTATCCAATTTCGAGAAAAGCTAGCCAAGCAGAAGCTGCGCGAAAAGCATTTCACCTGGCTGACAACGATGCCAACCTTCGGAGAGCAATGCTGCATCGAACACGACCGCATCGAGGCACATACCCAGCTGGAACATGGGTGATGATCTGGAGGCAAACGCCATCCACCCGGGGCTGGGTTGGACCAGCCCGGATCATCCAACAAGAAGGACAACACTGCATATGGTGCAATCACATGGGAAACCTAGTCAAAGTGTCACCCGAACATGTTCGAGAAGTGAGTGCATTGGAACAACTCGATATTCCACAAAGACTCAATGCTATTCCAGGCGTAGAGGAAGAAGGTGAAGTGAGAAACCGAAGACAAACTGAAACAACTCCAACAGACATCTCAGAAGTCCCACAAACTGCAATCGAAGCTGCGCCAGAGACACAGAACATCGAACCCAGACCAGCAAGCAGCTCAGAAGAACAGCCAGACCAAGAACCAATCGAAGACATAGAATCCAGGTCAAGTGGAAACGTGTCAAACGATCCTCAAAGCATTGCACCTGCAGAAATTCCCATACCGGATGACACGGATGACGAGCTCCTCTGTGATCACCTTTTGTGTTTAGAAGACGAAACATTCCAGGAAAACCCTGACACCGGATGGAAATGGGAAACTATCATCTCCGAAGATGACATCAACAGTTGGAAAAATGAACACCCAAACGAAGAGTTTCTCTTGATAGCATCAAACGCAAAACGTGACCGTTCAGAGGTGAAGCTCCATCAGTTGTCGAAATCCGAACAAGCTCTCTTCGATTCAGCAAAGGCAAAGGAAATTCAAAATTGGTTAGACACCGCAACGGTGAGCAAGATCTTCCGCAATCAGCTGAATCAGGAGCAAATCTTGCGACGCCGATGGATATGCATTTGGAAACCCTTGGAGGTCGAGCAGTCAACCCACGGCGACATCCCATGTCGACCTGGACCGAAGACCCACAAGGCGAAGGCTCGTTTAGTAGTACTTGGATTTGAGGACCCCCAAATTGACTCAATACCCCGTGACAGTCCAACATTAGGTAAACAATCCAAAACGCTACTAGTACAGCTAATCAGCTCTATGGGATGGACTCTCAAAAGCTTCGACATCCGTGCTGCCTTTTTACAAGGTAAGACCCAGG